CTAAAAGAGTAGATAATAGAGGAATGAAAATAATGGATATTGATTAAAAAAAATCAGAATACCAAGGCCCCAAATTCATTTCCTCATAGGAGATAAACAAGGACTTTTGACTTAGCCTGGTTGTAAATGGTGGTTAGTCGTCCTGTGTGTTCTCAGGACTGGAATTTATTTTAGGGGATCCTTGAAGTTAATGTTGCCTAGTGAGATGTCCCACCTCGAAGTCACGGACCGACGATCCTCAGGCAATTGCCCCTTGTTCTGCTTCTCTTTCTCCATGATTAATTCCTCTCAGGTTCTTAAATTAAAATATTTTAAAGGAATCTTTGGGAGTGATTTTAAAATGCAGATTCACGGCCTCAGCCTCATATCAGCTGAAATAGAATCTCTTAGAATGGGGCCAGGAATCTGCATTTTTAACCAAGTTCCCTGCCACTCAAATTTGAGCACTCCTGTTGGGCGGGGTCCTCCTCTGCTGACCTTGCAGCACATCCAGCTCTGTCTGCTCCCACCGCGGCTCCTGAGTCAGCAAAGCGGCGCTGACGCCCAGCCCCAGCATAGGGACTCTCTGTTTTCATTCCCTCTCCTGTCATCTCAGTTAAGGTCTTCATAATTTCTTCTCACCTGGAAGATTGTCACAGTGTTCTAACTGGTCTCCTGGCTTTCAGGCAGTCCTTTCCACTTTTAATCTGTTAATGCTCATCAGATCTACTAGGCCCGCATTTCTTCTTCTTGTGGCTCCGTCACCCTATGCCTCTTCATACCTGGCTGTTCTCTGACAGGACTCCTCTGCTCCCCACATTAAGGTTTGTTGTTTTCCAGCAGCTGACTCAGACCTCATGGAATGGACTCCAGTCACTCCTCTATTAAATCCTTGAATTCTTCCAATAGGTATTATTCCATATACATTAGGTGTCTGTATTCTTGTGTCCTATGAGAAATTCAAAGCGATGTTCTAGTTATGCTTCCAGAAAGAACTCACAATCTGTTCAGGGAGTCAGGCCTTTTACAGAAAAGGCAAATATCAGTATCAATTAGTCTGAGGCATCAGAAGAGTTGTCATAAGATGCTGCATAGTAAAGAATGATATTTTACATGCTGGCAACTCACGCATTTTACTTACGATTTCCTTTCTCTGAAGTTATTTAGCATTTATAGTTTGTAGTATCACTCTGATATTATATTATAGTCTATATTAGTCTTAAAAGATGTGAACATCATGAGATTTTGCGCCTGGCATAGTGTTGTATACTGAATTTTTGGCTGAATTGAAGTTTCAGAAATATGTGAACATGAAGCCATAACATTGTCAGAAAATGATGTTCCATACCACCCATTTAAATGGTTTTCTAAAAATATGTTTGATGCGACTTGTTAAAAAAAATGGGTAAATTTATGGTTTTTTAAAGCCTTAAAAGTTTCCAGAGTGCTACTTTTAGTGCCATTGACATAACTCTTTTATTATAAAATTTTTTCTTTAACATTGAGTAACAAAGCCTAGTCTAATCTAACCAGTATATTGCTGTGAGAGTTATAATATGTAGCTAGTTGTGTGTATGTGTTGGGGAGCAGGGTGGTAGGGATCAGCCACAGCCATTATACCTGAAAAATATGAGAACTTATATTTTTTACCTTCTTGAAAATTAAGAGTACTGTGGAAGATGAATGAATAAACAGAATGCTGAATCTTGAACTTTTATAGAGTTATAGGCAATTACCTGAGATTACTTCAAAGAAGTATTGCCTTCCGCTGAGTTTTCTGGAGTCTAAAAATGCTTCAAGTCCTGGAGCACACCTTTCAAGTTTTAAAATTTTATGCAGACTATTAAGCACTAGAAAATGAAATTGAATATAGATGTGACATTTGGCTGATCAATTTCTTATTAAGAAGAAAAACACTAAAGAGAGAATCCACTAACTTCTCAGGACAGCCATTCAATTGTCTCACTTATCAGAACAGGAGGGAGAATGCGGAATGTATGATAATACTGTTAATTCAATTTTTGAATTACATGAGCACATTAAAGCTTATTTTTTCTAGCTTTATTTGTCCAACTGCTTGACTGATTTGGCAGCCCTTCTCCCATGCCCCCTTTAAAGTCACTTTGTTTACAGATTAGCGGGAATGACTTCTGGGAAACTTTGATCCCAAAGTCTCAGAGGGAGATGTTTAAAAGGGAAATTCAGGGAAATAATCTGATCTCACCTTTGTATTTCTTCTTGACGTCTGTTACATCTTTCTCAATTCTGTCTCATCTCTCTGCTACTTTTCTGCATGAGAAAGAAAAACTGTAACAAAACACAATAGGTGGTTATTTTCCATCTGGTTTAATTTTCTTAACTCACATTTTCTTATTTTGCAAGATGTGCTGTTACTATAGTTGTGTGACTGAGAGATTGACTTGGAAAGTCTTTTTCCAGGAACAATATTTTTAATGTGTTGCATCTTTGGCATCTTTGGATAAGGGAATGGTAAGTAGAGTATTCAGCATAACAGAGGAAAAAAATATGTAAACATTGCACTTGTAGGCAGCCTAGAAGAGGAGGAATTTTAGTCAGAAGGCCAAAATTGTCATTCGAATCTTTTTTGAAATTAGTGTCCCTAGGAGGACAAGTTATTTCACTCGGCTGTATTTGTTTTTTTTATTGCCCAAGTAACAATATCTGTTGGCTTATGTTGTTTGAGCTTAAAACAAAGTAATGTATATGAGAGCAGTCTTAAGTATCTTTCATAAATAAAAATTCCTGTTAGTTTACAAGTGTTTGATAATGAACTAACTTGTTCTTTTTCATGAGGTTGTGTTTTACAAAATAAAAAGAAGAAACCTCTAGAACTTGTTTTTTTAAAAGAATACCATGAATGACAGTCCTTCAGCTTACTACAGTGTTTAGCAAATGAATTATTACCTGTTGTAAACAATGATATTTCTTTTGTCCACATGCTGCCTTTTGGTATGATTAAATATAATTTTTTGTCCTAGGTGGGATCTCACCGTGTCCGTATGTCAAGGGGATTTGAAGCCAATGCACCTGCTTTTGACAGGTAAGATGGATTATTTTTACATAGCACCGTTAAGTTTTGACATAGTTAAGTGGTAAGACTCTTGTAATTACATTTATTGATTCATTTCAGCTTTTGGCTGTAAGTAATATTTCTTCTTGAC